GAACTCTGGACCTTTTATCTGCTCATTGTAATTGGGATAATGAGGGAATAACACACACCTGGCCATAGAACAGCTGAGAAGCCAATTGTCCCATTACTTTTGGTCCCTTACCAAGTGGGAGGCACATATGCAAACTGTTGTAATTCCTACACTGTTCACCTGATTTGGATGTAAATACCCTCAAATTAAAGCTGACAGTCTGCAGTTAAAGCACATCTTGTTCGTTTCATTTCAAATCCATTGTGGTGGTGTATAGAGCCACAAATGTTAGAATTGTGTCGATGTCCCAATATTTATGGACCTGACTGTAAGTACCTGAAATAAATCCATAAGGTGTGTAAATCCTCAGTAGGGCAAGAGGAGTGCAGCGCTAAATAGCAAAAAACGCTGTGGTCATGAAGGGGGTAACACCCTCCGGACCAGGGGCAGACTGACCTCAATACCTTTATGATGATGCCTGATGAGGGATCCTCCAAATGGTTTTTATTGACAGACTATGCATGATTGGGACTTGGCTCTGAGGAAGAGGTGCCCCCCTCGAAACGCGTCAGCCACTCATAGTGTCTTCCCTTTGCCGGGATTCATGCCAGGTCATGCAGGACATCGATGACCTTGAGATTACATGCGTTTTGTGAGTATTACTTCAATAAAAGGCTCTATAAAAGGTGATGCGCTCTCTGTTTTTCTTTCCCTTGTCCCCCCCTACCCAGTCCTTACAGAATCTTGAGTCGTTGAAGATCCGAGGTCCATCCGGAACATCTAATTGGAGCGCAGGAGGTTGTTCTTCTTATGGTTTGCTAATCACCGACTGTGCTGACTTCTATTTATTCTGCGCTGGAGTTCCCTTTACACGCCCCCCCCCCCCTCCCCTTCCTGGCCAATGTTGCGCTGATTGAAAAAAACAACCTAAAATAAAAAAAAAAAGTTGCCCTTAAAATGTAAAAAAACAGGTCAGACAAGGAGGAGAGCGAGAGGAATAAAGTATGGAAATCAAATGTAAAAAAAGATTTTTGCGCAGGCAACTTCCTCGGGGAGATCTGCTTAGCTCCTCTTCGCCGGGCAAAAAAAAAAAACGTCTGCCAGTCATTAACGGCAGCTCCACGCCGCCTTAATTGAACGCCAGCGGACCCACCCTCATTTGCATAGGAGTGCGTTTTGAGTGGCAGCTGTACATGTGACGGCAGACGGAGTTGAAAGCATGTTTTGAGCTGCCACTAATGATCCCGTGGCTCCGGGGAAAGCTGCCATATTGTAATTTGGCTATCAGGCATGAAAGGAGTAATTCCGAGTGCCAGGGATGCGAAGCTAAATAAATACTTCAAATGCAGCAGGTTGCCGGCGGTGACACTTGTGATTTAGTGTACACCGATGCCCCCGTCGCCGCTGGGGGTTTTTTTGGGGGGGAGAGGGTATTCTATGTGAACGTTGTGGATAAAACATTAGTCGGAGGGAAAAATTAAAAAAAAAAAAAAAAAAGTAAAAAAAAAAAAAAAATTTAAAAAAGGCGCAGCGTAGGATTGGAGGGGGGGGGGGGGGGGGGGGCGCAGTCCCAGGAGCCGGCGGAATGTTTACAGCTAATGACTGGGTAAAAGGATTCCTTTCTACCTTCTGTAATGACAGCAGAAACAAGATTTGCTTCCCGGAGATGGGAAATAATGGATACGTTAACTCTCCAGACTCCCGCTTGCTTGTTTTCTTGGGGTTTTTTATTGTGTGTTTAGATGACGCGCTCAGGATTACCGAGAGGAAAGCGCCAGGGAGGCCCCTTCAAGTATGGAGTCATGAGAGAGGAGAAGGGACTGTGGTGCCCATAGAAGATACGGCAGAATCCGGGTCACGTCGTTACGGATCAAGAAGGATTTTTTTCAAGGAAAAATTCGAGGAGTACCTTACGAGGACTTTTTTTTTTTTTCTTCCCATGGACAAGGTTGGGTCTACAGAGATCTGTATCTTCCAGGCAGACATTTGTCTTTATTAATCTGACTCCAAAAGAGGATAATGGTGGGAAGGAATTTAGAGGGACCATTGACAGTTCTCTCCTACTTTTGTAAGTCAGTGGAGGTGCAAAAAAGTACACTTAGGGGTGTGCTTTAGTTCACCCCCCCCCCCCCCCGAAGGGGTAGGACCCCTACTCTGATATCCCTGGGGCACAAGGCTTCTGACAGGGACAAAGGTTTCCACATGGTCCACCAAGACAAAAGGCCTGAAGGACCCTTTTGCTTGTATCTAGCTGAAGCCGACCACCAAGTATTAGGTCAGGGATCTCTCCCAAAAAGAGACCCCCCGGAACTCTCTCCCAGATCTCTCCTACTTTTGTAAGTCGGCGGAGGTGCCGACAAGCGAACAAAAAAATTTGCAAGTGCAAAAAAAGTGCACTTAGGGGTGTGCTTTAGTCCACCCCCCCGAAGGGGTAGGACCTCTTCCCTGATCCCCCAGGGCACAAGGCTCCTGGCAGAGACAAAGGTTTCCACATGGTCCACCAAGACAAAAGGCCTGACGGACCCCCTTGTATCTAGCCGAAGCCGACCACCAAGTATTAGGACAGTGAGCTCTCCCGAAAAGAGACCCCCCCAGGAACTCTCCCAGTATTTTTCGGGCTGAACCGGACAGAGGTTTGTTTTTATTAATCTGACTCCAAAAGAGGATAATGGTGGGAAGAAATTTAGAGGGACAATTGACAGTTCCCTCCTACTTTTGCAAGTCGGCGGAGGCGCCCGCAAGTGAACAAAAAATTTGCAAGTGCAAAAAAGTGCACTTAGGGGTGTGCTTTAGTCTACCGCCCGAAGGGGTAGGACCACTTCCCTGATCTCCCAGGGCGCAAGGCTCCTGGCAGAGACAAAGGTTTCCACATGGTCCACCAAGACAAAAGGCCTGACGGACCCCTTTGCTTGTATCTAGCTGAAGCCAACCACCAAGTATTAGGTCAGGGAGCTTTCCCAAAAAGAGACCCCCCAGGAACTCTCCCAGTTCTCTTCTACTTTTTAAGTCCCATGGTGTCGTGAACACACTCACAAAATTAGCACCCGGTGCAAAAAAAAAGTGAGCACACAAAGTGCACAACATGTACATCTGGCCCTCCTCCGAAGAGAAAGGGCCCTGGCCCTGATCCCCCGGGGCGCAAGGCTCCTTTTGGAGATTGAGGCACTCACTAGGTCCACCCGGCCAAAACCAGGCAGACACCTTTATTTAGGAGGCCTGCCGAAGCAAGACCAACCCAGTACTAGGTGGGGCACCCCATGTGGGGAGGAGGCCCTGACCAAAAGGCCACATGCCTCCGCCCCCCAAGACTTTCAGGGCAGGCCCGAGGACCTACACCATACTAATTAGGGAACGTGAAAGTGCGTACAGTGCTCTGCAAAAGTGCAAGTGGCAAAAACATATAAATGAAAAAAAAAAAGGGGAAGTAAAAAAGTACTGTTCATGCCATAGTGAAATGCTATGGTGGGCCGTTCAGTTCTCTCCTACTAGCCCACCCCCTAGGAAGGACATGGTGGTCTGCAGGATGGAGTGTCGGCTCGGCACCTGTGTGCGTCTCCCTGCTGGCTGATCTCATGTCGGTGTGTGCATTGGGGTTCCAAACCAGCAATTTAAAGCTTATGTCAAGGCAAATGAAAAAATATATATATATATATATTTAGGATATCGATGAAATACATGCACCTTTCCCTGAGCTTTCTCCTCTTAAACACACTGGAAGCACAGAATTATACCTGCTGATGGGTCAGAGATAGAGTGTGCTCCAACCTTCCGCTCTGAATCTCTAAGCAGGTGGTGTCAGCCCTGCCTACTGCATTTTGGATGGATTACAACGAATACAGACCTCGTCTCCGAAATCCCACTTCATCTCCCCCACCATCTCCATAACCCATCCTTATCTCGATATCCCCTCCTCTTCATCTCCTCCCACCTACTCATCTCCATATCCCCTCATCTCCTCCGACCTACTCATCTCCATATCCCCTCATCTCCTCCCATCTACTCATCTCCAAACCCCTCCTCTTCATCTCCTCCCACCTACTCATTTCCATAACCCTTCCTCTTCATCTCCTACCACCTACTCATCTCCATAAACCCTTCTCATCTCCATAAACCCTTCCCATCTCCATAACCCCTCCTCATCTCCTCACCTGCTCATCTCCCACCTGCTCATCTCTCACCTGCTTATCTCCCTAATTCCTTCTCGTCTCCTCCCCCCTTCTCATCTCCATAACCCCTCCTCTTCATCTCCTCCCACCTACTCATTCCATACCCCCTCCTCTTCATCTCCCATCTACTCATCTCCTTCCACCTACTCATCTCCATAACCCCTCCTCATCTCCCATCTACTAATCTCCCTAACTCCTTCTCATCTCCTCCCCCCCTTCTCTCCTCCATAACCCCTCCTCTTCATCTCTTCCCACCTACTAATCTCCATAATCCCTCCCTATCTACTTAACCCCTCCTCGTCATCCTCCTCCCACCTACTATCTCCATAATCCCTCCTCTCATCTCCTCCCACCTACTCATCTCCTTAACTCCTTCTCGACTCCTCCCACCTACTTATCTCCATAACTCCTTCTCATCTCCTCAACCCGTTCTCATCTCTCCTCCCCTTCTCATCTCTTTCCACCTCACTCATCTCTCCAACCCCTCCTCATCTCCTCCCCTTCTCAGCTCCATAACCCCACTGACCCCCAATGTAAGGGACATTCTTCCCACTGATCACCAATGTAAGGGGCATTCTTCCCACTGATCACCAATGTAAGGGACATTCATCCCACTGACCCCCAATGTAAGGGACATTCTTCCCACTGACCACCAATGTAAGGGACATTCTTCACACTGACCACCCATGTAAGGGACATTCTTCCCACTGACCCCCAATGTAAGGAGCATTCCTCCCACTGACCTCCAATGTAAGGAACATTCTTCCCACTGACCACCAATGTAAGGGACATTATTCCCACTGATCTCCAATGTAAGGGACATTCTTCCCACTGACCCCCAATGTAAGGGACATCCTTCTCACTGATCACCAATGTAAGGGACATTCTTCCCACTGACCACCAATGTAAGGGACATTATTCCCACTGATCACCAATGTAAGGGACATTCTTTCCACTGACCACCAATGTAAGGGACATTCTTCCCACTGACCCCTATTGTAAGGGACATTCTTCCCACTGACCCCCAATGTAAGGGACATCCTTCTCACTGATCACCAATGTAAGGGACATTCTTCCCACTGACCACCAATGTAAGGGACATTCTTCTCACTGATCACCAATGTAAGGGACATTCTTCCCACTGACCCCCAATGTAAGGGACATTCTTCCCACTGATCACCAATGTAAGGGACATTCTCCCCACTGATCACCAATGTAAGGGACATTCTTCCCACATATACCAATGTAAGGGACATTCTTCCCACTGACCACCAATGTAAGGGACATTCTTCCCACTGACCACCAATGTAAGGAACATTGTTCCCACTGATCACCAATGTAAGGGACATTCTCCCCACTGATCACCAATGTAAGGGACATTCTTCCCACTGATCACCAATGTAAGGGACATTCTTCCCACTGATCACCAATGTAAGGGACATTCTTCCCACTGATCACCAATGTAAGGGACATTCTTCCCACTGATCACCAATGTAAGGAACATTCTTCCCACTGATCACCAATGTAAGGGACATTCTCCCCACTGATCACCAATGTAAGGGACATTCTTCCCACTGACCCCCAATGTAAGGGACATTCTTCCCACTGATCACCAATGTAAGGGACATTCTTCCCACTGACCACCAATGTAAGGGACATTCTTCCCACTGATCACCAATGTAAGGGACATTCTTCCCACATATACCAATGTAAGGGACATTCTTCCCACTGATCACCAATGTAAGGGACATTCTTCCCACTGATCACCAATGTAAGGGACATTCTTCCCACATATACCAATGTAAGGGACATTCTTCCCACTGACCTCCAATGTAAGGGACATTCTTCCTACTGACAATGACGCTAATTTACTGTGAGCTCTAGATATAGTAATTAATAGCAGGGGTTCCCCGAGACGAGAAAGTTATTTCAAGGGTTCCTCCATGTGAAAAAGGTTGAGTTAGACAGTTGTGAGGCCTACGATGAAGACCCAGAGTGGAGTGTCCTCATACGACGCTGGCACACGAAAGTTGTGCCTACCAGAACAGCAGCACGCTGCTTCTCAGTATGGTATGTAGACAAGCGGAGCGGCGCGGGTTTCGCGGCCCCAGTCAGAATCAGCGGATGGGGGAACCTGACGACGGATGCGCCTTCTCGCTCTAAACGGTTCTCCTTTCTCACGATTCCTGCTGTTGACGTTTGGACGGACCCTCATTTCACACTTCCCATTTAATTGCTGTTCCAGATGTGCGCAAATCAACAAGTCCTCCGAATTTGGAGGGAGACGAGGCACGCACGCACGCCCAGCAGGAGTGGAGAGGGAAGAGACAGTTCATCAGCGTAATTCACTAATAAAGTTCTAGGGAACGGATGGAGTGCGGCACAGACAAGACCCGCGCCCGTCTCCTCTCTCTGTTCAGCCGCTTCCATGTTTAATTCATGAATCCCGCTAACAACTACACAAGCAGCGGAGTCTGCTGGAGATACTGCGAGGTGTGTAAGACGAGGAGATTTCATTATACATTATAGGTTCATGTCTGGGGGTTGTGTACGACTCATAAAAGTCGTAATAAAAGATTCCAGGCGAGCCGGAAACTCGCCCCCCCCCCCCCAGCGCAGATTACGCCTCTACGGATTCTACACGAAAAGTAGATGTAAACCCGGACTGAAAACTTTTCATGGCATCTCCATGGTACAGCTTAGGGCCAGGGGCGGACTGATCATTCGAGCACTCGGGCACTGTACAGGGCCCCATGATTTCCAACAGCAGCCCTGCCTATACTCAGGGGTGTATTTTCCACAAGGCAAACAAGGCATTTGCCTAGAGCGGCATTTTTCAGGGGGGCAGCACTGGCCCCCTGGAAGAAGGGACGGAAGAAGGGACGGAAGAAGGGACACATGCGGCTTGGGAACCAGATGGGGTCTGAGAGAGGCTGCAAGCTGCTTGACTCTTGTTCCTGGGGATGTCCAGAGCTGTGGAGGTGTCTTTCTCTCTCTTGCTGGGAAGGGAGTGGCCGGTGTATGGGGGTGATGGTAGTGGAAGGTTCTCTTGGGTGGGGGTGTTGTTGGTCAATGTCAGGCTCTCTCCTGGTGGGAAGGATGAGTTTTGTGTTGCCTAGGGTAGTGCAAAACCTAAATACACCACCAGGGGCGGACTGACCATTTGGAAACTCGGGCACTGCCCAATGGCCCGTGATCAGTAGGGGGCCCCATGAAATGCCCCTGGTACCTTTTATAGGCTTTTTTGTGTGTACTTTGAGTGTGGGCAAGGACACAGGGGCCCCATGATCCCCTATTGCCCCATGATCCCCTATTGTCAGTCCGCCCCTGCTTAGGGGCCCATTCACATCTGAGCGTCGTGGAACGCGGCAAAAGGCTGGATGTGAGTTTGGATGCCATTGATTCTTAATGGCACCCCAAATGCACTTAAAAAGGGGGTTTTGTGGTGCAACAAAATGCCAGAAAATCCATGCGCTGTTGAAAAACATGCCAAAGTCAGTTCAAATAGAAAAAAAAAATATAGGAAGCTACTTTGACGCACTTTTGAAACATAAGGCGGCCTCCATTGGGCGACAAATGCAAATTGAAGTGAATGGGCTGCCCTATGCATTTCCAGAATGTGGCAAAATGCAGGATTGGGCGCCATTCATACTTAATGGCATCCCAAAATGAGCAAAAAAAATGGCGTTTTGCGCTTTGTTAAGCCCAAAAAAATATATTTAATTTTGTAAAGCGCTGCGCAAACTGTTGGCGCTATATAAATCTTGCATAATAATAATATAAAAATGTTCGAAAATGAGCCAAAGTCAGCTAAAAAAAAGGGGCAAATGAATGGGCTGCCATATTTAAAGTAGTTATAAACCTAGCTACTGGAATCCTATCTTCTGAAGTTCTTTTAAATACCCATAAAACTGTTAAAATAATCCCTGGTGATCCTGCCATGAAGGCATTTCCTGTTATAGGGTGACAATGTTCCATCCCTGTCTCCCGATTGTGCTCATATGTTGTCACCCTGTCACACGGGCTTTCGATGGAGACTATAAGTAGCTTTTTCAACATACATCATGCAGGCATGGCCCAGAGCCGGATCTGATCTGGGGGAGCAGTAAGAAAATGTCAGGGAGCACCAATGTCCAAAGTGTGACAAAGATGCAGAGAACCAATATTCCCCATTCACTCAGCACTCTCTGTGCCACGAGGAACAACCTGGAGGTGACGTCTGACAGGTATCGCAGAGGTGGTGCAGGAGTGATCAGGGAACAATAATAATGTCCTCATCACAGGGCCCCCCTACATCAAATGTCCTCATCACAGTGCCCCCCTACATCAAATGTCCCAATCACAGTGCCCCCCACATCAAATGTCCCAATTACAGTGCCCCCCTACATCAAATGTCCCAATTACAGTGCCCTCACATCAAATGTCCCAATCACAGTGCCCCCCACATCAAATGTCCCAATTACAGTGCCCCCCTACATCAAATGTCCCAATTACAGTGCCCTCACATCAAATGTCCCAATCACAGTGCCCCCCTACATCAAATGTCCCAATTACAGTGCCCCCCTACATCAAATGTCCCAATTACAGTGCCCTCACATCAAATGTCCCAATCACAGTGCCCCCCCACATCAAATGTCCCAATCACAGTGCCCCCCCTACATCAAATGTCCCAATCACAGTGCCCCCCTACATCAAATGTCCCCATCACAGTGCCCTCACATCATATGCCCCCATCACAGTGCCCCCCTACATCAAATGTCCCCATCACAGTGCCCCCCTACATCAAATGTCCCCATCACAGTGCCCTCACATCATATGCCCCCATCACAGTGCCCCCCTACATTAAATGTCCCAATCACAGTGCCCTCACATCAAATGTCCCAATCACAGTGCCCTCACATCAAATGTCCCAATCACAGTGCCCCCCCACATCAAATGTCCCCATCACAGTGCCCCCACATCAAATGTCCCCATCACAGTGCCCCCACATCAAATGTCCCCATCACAGTGCCCTCACATCATATGCCCCCATCACAGTGCCCCCCCTACATTAAATGTCCCAATCACAGTGCCCTCACATCAAATGTCCCAATCACAGTGCCCCCCACATCAAATGTCCCCATCACAGTGCCCCCACATCAAATGTCCCCATCACAGTGCCCCCCCACATCAAATGTCCCAATCACAGTGCCCCCCCCCCCACATTAAATGTCCCAATCACAGTGCCCTCACATCAAATGTCCCAATCACAGTGCCCTCACATCAAATGTCCCAATCACAGTGCCCCCCCACATCATATGTCCCCATCACAGTGCCCCCACATCAAATGTCCCAATCACAGTGCCCCCCCTACATCAAATGTCCCAATCACAGTGCCCCCCTACATCAAATGTCCCAATCACAGTGCCCCCCACATCAAATGTCCCAATTACAGTGCCCCCCTACATCAAATGTCCCAATTACAGTGCCCTCACATCAAATGTCCCAATCACAGTGCCCCCCACATCAAATGTCCCAATTACAGTGCCCCCCTACATCAAATGTCCCAATTACAGTGCCCTCACATCAAATGTCCCAATCACAGTGCCCCCCTACATCAAATGTCCCAATTACAGTGCCCCCCTACATCAAATGTCCCAATTACAGTGCCCTCACATCAAATGTCCCAATCACAGTGCCCCCCCACATCAAATGTCCCAATCACAGTGCCCCCCCTACATCAAATGTCCCAATCACAGTGCCCCCCTACATCAAATGTCCCCATCACAGTGCCCTCACATCATATGCCCCCATCACAGTGCCCCCCTACATCAAATGTCCCCATCACAGTGCCCCCCTACATCAAATGTCCCCATCACAGTGCCCTCACATCATATGCCCCCATCACAGTGCCCCCCTACATTAAATGTCCCAATCACAGTGCCCTCACATCAAATGTCCCAATCACAGTGCCCCCCACATCAAATGTCCCCATCACAGTGCCCCCACATCAAATGTCCCCATCACAGTGCCCCCACATCAAATGTCCCCATCACAGTGCCCTCACATCATATGCCCCCCATCACAGTGCCCCCCTACATTAAATGTCCCAATCACAGTGCCCTCACATTAAATGTCCCAATCACAGTGCCCTCACATCAAATGTCCCAATCACAGTGCCCCCCACATCAAATGTCCCCATCACAGTGCCCCCCCACATCAAATGTCCCCATCACAGTGCCCCCACATCAAATGTCCCAATCACAGTGCCCCCCCCCACATTAAATGTCCCAATCACAGTGCCCTCACATCAAATGTCCCAATCACAGTGCCCTCACATCAAATGTCCCAATCACAGTGCCCCCCCACATCATATGTCCCCATCACAGTGCCCCCCCACATCAAATGTCCCAATCACAGTGCCCCCCCTACATCAAATGTCCCAATCACAGTGCCCCCCTACATCAAATGTCCCCATCACAGTGCCCTCACATCAAATGTCCCCATCACAGTGCCCCCCTACATCAAATGTCCCAATCACAGTGCCCTCACATCAAATGTCCCAATCACAGTGCCCTCACATCAAATGTCCTCATCACAGTGCCCCCCCACATCAAATGTCCCCATCACAGTGCCCCCCCTACATCATATGTCCCCATCACAGTGCCCCCCAACATCATATGTCCCAATCACAGTACCCCCCCCACATCAAATGTCCTCATCACAGTGCCCCCCACATCAAATGTCCTTATCACAGTGCCCCCCCCCCCCCCACATCAAATGTCCTTATCACAGTGCCCCCCCCCCCACATCAAATGTCCCCATCACAGTGCCCCCCTACATCATATATCCCAATCACAGAGCCCCCCCCCACATCAAATGTCCTCATCACAGTGCCCCCCTACATCATATTTTCCCATCACAGTGCCCTCCCACATCATATGTTCTCATCACAGTGCCCCTCTGTAGGGGGGTGGAACCAACTGACAGTGCTCGGAGGTAGGTAGCGGGTGGAACCAAGTGATGGTTCTCGGAGGTGGGTAGCGGGCAGAACCAAGTGACGGTGCTCAGAGGTGTATAGGTGGTGGAACCAAGTAATGGTGCTTGGAGGTGGGTAGCGGGAGGAACCAAGTGACGGTGCTCAGAGGTGGGTAGGGGGTGGAACTGAGTGATGCTGCTCGGAGGCTGGTAGGGGGTGGAACCAAGTAACGGTGCTCAGAGGTGGGTAGGAGTGGAACCAAGTAACGGTGCTCAGAGGTGGGTAGGGGGTGGAACCAAGTGACGGTGCTCAGAGGTGGGTAGTGGGTGGAACCAAGTGATGGTGCTCAGAGGTGGGTAGGGGGTGGAACCAAATGACGGTGCTCAGAGGTGGATAGCAAGTGGAACCAAGTGATGGTGCTCGGAGGTGGGTAGCGGGTGGAACCGAGTGACGGTGCTCGGAGGTGGGTAGGGGGTGGAACCGAGTGACGGTGCTCGGAGGTGGATAGGGAGTGGAACCAAAGGACAATGCTCGGAGGTGGGTAGGGTGGAACCGAGTGATGGTTCTCAGAGGTGGGTAGGGGGTGGAACCAAGTGACAGTGCTCGGAGGTGGGTAGGGGGGGGTGGAACAAAGTGACGGTGCTCGGAGGTGGGTAGGGGGGTGGAACCAAGTGACGGTGCTCGGAGGTGGGTAGGGGGTGGAACCAAGTGACAGTGCTCAGAGGTGGGTAGGGTGGAACCGAGTGATGGTTCTCAGAGGTGGGTAGGGTGGAACCAAGTGACAGTGCAAGGAGGTGGGTAGGGGGGTGGAACCAAGTGACGGTGCTCGGAGGTGGGTAGGGGGTGGAACCAACTGACTGTGCTCGGAGGTGGGTAGGGGGTGGAACCAACTGACGGTGCTCAGAGGTGGGTAGGGGGTGGAACCAAGTAACGGTTCTTGGAGGTGGGTAGGGTGGAACCAAGTGACAGTGCTCGTAGGTGAGTAGGGGGTGAAACCAACTGACGGTGCTCAGAGGTGGGTAGGGGGTGGAACCAAGTAACGGTGCTCGGAGGTGAGTAGGGGGTGGAACCAAGTAACGGTGCTCGGAGGTGAGTAGGGGGTGGAACCAAGTGACAGTGCTCGGAGGTGAGTAGGGGGTGAAACCAACTGACGGTGCTCAGAGGTGGGTAGGGGGTGGAGACAAGAAGTGACTCAGAAGAAAACATCCTGCCCCTTTTTTTTTTTTAGAAAAAGAGCCCTGGGCATGACCAAAATCTGGGGGGTTACAGCCTACCCCAGCATCCCCCTAGATCCGGGCCAGACCACTGTTGTCACCATCAGAAAACCTACACTG